ACTATTAGAGATTGCAGAACAAAGTACTAGATGGTCTAAAAGACTACTCGAGCGCTCAAACCTGCGCTCAAGCGAACTGAAATTTTTTTTCTCAGAGTGCTACAAGTCGAGATGCCTAACCTTTGTGTACCATGAGCAGGTCGTGATATATTTTTATCCTTTTAGAATTTTTTTTAAAAAAACTTTGACTCAAATATTTTAATTTTTAAATACATTTTGACTAAATGATGATTTTAAAAATTAAAAAAATTTGCGCCCAATTTTTTGTTATTTAAATTCCCTAAAAATGTTATCAAAAAAATACAAAAAAAAATGACTAAATTTTGTATTTAATGAACTTAGTTTAAACCAATAAATTTTAAAATGATAGTTGAGACGAATCCAAAAAAAGAAAATAGACATTTATTTTTGTTATCATGAAAGACAAAAATAAAAAAAAAAAAAAAAAAAAAAAAAAAAAAAATTGGAATAATAGTATATACTTTAAGTATATTTTTTAGGATAAATTACAAATACACCCTAGAAATTTAAAATACAGAGTAGAAAAAATAAAATTTCAAACTACTCACTTATAAATAGTAAAATTATCAAAATTATAAATTGAAATATATTTCTAACATCATTAAAACTGATAATTGACTAAATGATTTTTAATAAAAATAACCATTTGTTATACGAATAGAAATTTGAAGGTTGTGATGTAGTTTCCAAAATCACAAAAAAATAATTTGTATTTTAAGGTGTATTTATAATTGATCCTTTTTTTATTTAATTAGGTATATATTTTTTTTTTTTAAGAATATACTTTATCCGCAGCAAGTGGTTACCGTTAAATTGCCAAAAATACAAACACACCCTTATTAACCTATAATTTATCCCGAATATATTTGTAAGGTGGAAATTAAATTCATGAGTAAAAAAAAAAAAAATTAACCACTGATTTCCTTTTCTTGATAAATTCTGAATTAATAAATCGAATCAGTGTTAGTGTTGTTAAATTATCCTTGGATTTATTTATGGATAAGGCTTCTCTGCAGTCCACTTTATGGACTAGACAGTACTGTTGGGTTCGTGTGACCCACCATAGGTCTCATTTTAATGATCCAAACTATTCAATATATAAAACTCGTCGAGTTAATCATCTCTGCAAAATATTACATTGATCGAATATGGATAGCCCCTTGATCAGAATATGTCTTTGTCAATGGTAAATATTATTTTAAAATAAATTGTTGACAAAAATTTGTTCTGATCAAGTGCCTATTGATATCTGATCAATTTGATTTTTTACAAGTACGAAATACTCAACAAGTTCTACATATTAAATAGTTTGGATTATAAAAATGAAACCCGTTATGGGCTCCACATGCCCAACAGCACCATCCAACCCACAAAGTGGGCCAGAGAGAATCTACATCCTCTATTTATTTGTTTTTGGTTTCTTAGAGCATCTTCAATCGTTCATTAGATATTTCATCACATTTGAATAAAAGTTTGATCTGATACGATGCATTCCAACATTTTCATCAAATCCCACTGATCGACTATCTAAAGCAAATTTTCATCAAATTCATTTCAAAACTGGTTATCTAGGGGATGTTCGGGCAGACGTACGATCCAAAAGTCACCTACAAATTTGATTAATGGATAAATGCTTCCTTCATTTGATGAAAAAATAGTACCGCCTTCTTCATTTGATATCAAGCTGATGAAACGGTTGAAATATCATTTTTACCAATTTTTTATCAAATTTAAATTTCATAAAAAAAATCTGATGAAGGATTTGGAAAGATGGTTAAAAGCTGATTTTTTGACTTTTTTTACTTATTTTAAAAAAACGTGTAAAAAATGTGAGAGATGATGTGACCCAAAATGGGTTAAAAGTTGGAAAGTGACTTTTAACCCATTTCCCAAAAGAAGCCAAAGATTGACCCAGCCATTATCACATTCACACATATGTGTACATTCACACATGTATGTTTTCTTTTAGACTCAGTTTGGTTAGATAAATAACACAAAAAAGTGAAAGAGTTTATGTGTTTATTTAAATAAAGAGTCCTAGAAATAAATGAAAATTAAAGTTTTCTGTACAACTCAAAATAGCTTGTTAATTAGACTAATAATTTCTTACAAAATATATAGAAAATTTTATTTTTTTCCCCAAATCTTGACATAGTTTATTTTATTTTTCTTTTTATCCATATTTCTCTCTACAACTCCTTATTATGCAGCAATTATGTATATTTTGTTTTATCATTTTCTTACAAAACTTTTTATCTATTTAAATACATGTAAGAAAATAATTTTCGTTTCTTTTTCCTTTCTTTCACTTCATTTTCTACTAGGGATGGGCCTATCTATACCCATTTTAATCTGATCCGCGTGGGCCTACCCATACCCACCTGAATGAGACGAATTTTACATGCCCCAACACTTATGTGGAGTGGGGGTGGATTATATTTTGGTCACCCGCAAAGGGAGTGAGGTGAGGACGAGAATTGTCTCCTTCAATCCAAACCCAACCCGATATAATTTATAATATATAAATAAATAATATATATAATATAATTAGATATAAGAAAATAACACTAAAAGTCTGTGATTCTATTTAAATATAAATAAATAATAATCTTAAAAGTCTCACTATTTATATATATGAAAACAAGAAAAATTATTTAGTGTGCTAAGGATTTAAATGGTTCTCAATTTTTTTGGCTATTTGAAATGTGGTCGGGTATCCACAGGTATCAAGTATCCACAGATATCGGCAAAGCAGCAATGGAGTTGAAAAATTCCACCCATAACAGAGATGGGGCAGGAGTAGGAGTAAGTTTATCCGCAGAAGCAAGGGTAGGAAATGATAAACACGTCCCAAACCCATCCCATGGCGATCCCTACTTTTTGGGTAATTCTATTTCTACACACCAAAATATCTCACTCCACATCCTCTCTCAATACACACACCAACTAATTTTGAATTTTGTAATTTTACTCAATGCACAATCCTTTTTAGCAAAAATATCTCTCTCTTTAACATTGAAACCCTAAACCAACACCTATTGTCACCTGTCACTTGTTGTCGTCCATGACCATGCATCGACGATGGCAACTCTAAGTTACCCCTTTTCAACCCCTTTCTACTGCTGTCGCCGCCTCCGCCATTTCCTCTACCCCTCCACTAGTCATTCTCTAGACTAAAAAAATCCAAACTTTTAACATCAAAACCTCACACAAACATATATACAAACACATAGTATACATATATATACGAGCCCTATGGAAAGTAAGATTTGGGCCATACAAGTAGAGTTACACTATTATATTTATCAGTGTTGTTTCTTCTCCCCTACTTCGGTCTTGAAAAGAATTTTCATTCATTTTAAAAATAAAAATAAAAAATTTGTTACATTGAGGCACTGTAAATGGCATGTTGGTTAGAGCTATGGTTTAATTATGGATTTACATAAGTTATTAAATTTTTTTTGTTATATATTCATCAGAATTTTAGCCTCAATTCTTACTTTGAAGACACAAAGTGCACGAAGGTTTTTACCTTTCTCGACGAAGGAACAACAAAAATTACCACCGATTCAATTAAGTGGAAAGAGGGCATAGTAAGAGGTCTTTGTTCATACATTTCTATCCAAATGCAACTGAAGCACCGTGTGGGTTCCAAATATACCCGGCACCACCAGTCACAAGTATGTTCTGCACCATAACTACACAAACCCTAGAGAGAGAGAGAGAGGGAGAGAGAGGGGATAACGGTTTTGCGGCAAAGAAGTTGTAGTGGAGTTGATGGCGGCAATAGTGGTAGCCGGTAGCTAGGGTTAGGGTTAAGAAATTACGATTTTTGTGGAAAAGATAAGGACACTTTAGTAACTTTATTTTAAAACAAAACTGTAATTAAAAAAAGTGTTGTTATTAGCACCCCATTAATTATTTTGAACCCCTCAATTTTTAGCTTTTTTTTATTACAATAATAACTTCAAATAAAATTACTAAAAAGGACATTATTAATTTTGGGACACCCCATCTCACAATTAAACTCATACATCCACGATATCATGAATTAGGGTTTACGAGAGCACCCACCTCCATCACTACTCATCTATCTTCTCCAAATCTCACCTTCAAAACTTACCCACCCTCAAAACCTTGAAAACTCTTTGGTGGCAATATTCCGATGGTAACGGTAGCAACCATTTGATTACCTACACTTCTCCGACAATGATAATGAGTGGAAGTTTTTTCAGTAACCACATCTCCATGAGACAAGAGGAGTACAACAATAAATGTTCAGAGAAGGTTCATAGATTTGATGGTGTTCTTAGCTCAGAGGATATTGATCTTATAAAAGTAAATTTCTTTAAAAAATGGCAAAAATAAGAAAATATATTCATCATTTTTTTGAGACTGAACTTCCGAACATATGACCGAAATTCGGGAACACAAACCTGAATATTGTTTATTTGTTCGGGAACTGAAAATCGAACATTTATTATTTGTTCGGAAACCGATAACCAAACATTAATCATCAAAGCAAAAGATGAGGCGGCAGAGAGAGAGAGAGAGCATTCCAACTATGACATTGGTTAAACCGAAAAAAAAAGGATGACGCGATAGAGATAGTAATCACACTTGACTCTTCTTTTTCTTCGTAGGCTTTGTTAGGGTTTTTGAAAGAGAGTTTTTTTTTTTTTGGTGTGGGGGTGGTGTGCATTCAATTGAATAAATTGAATGTTTTCACGAGGATAATTTTGGTATTATTTGGAGGAGAAAATAAATTTTAAGTGTTTCAAAATTTATAAATTGGGGGTCCAAAGAAATGTGGGGTTAAAAAAATAGATAGAGTGCTACCACTCATAAAAGAAAAAATAAATTATTAAATATATACAAAGATAAGTAAGTGTGTAAAAATAAATTTTTTTTTTTTTTTTTTTTATCATTTTCATTTTCATTTTCTATCCTCCAATTTTTTCTAAATAAATGGAGCCTTGGAAAGAAAGAAACGAAGGCGGCCAAAAAAAAAAAAAATAGAGAAACGCGTTCGGGGAACTTCCGAAACCATTCCTTGGTTAGCGTTGTCGAAACGGTGATCATCATCATCGGAAGCGGCGACAAACAACCGTTCGCCTTCCGGTAAGACCTTTCAGTACCTGTGATTATTTCGGCCGCAAATCCTTCTCCAGGAAGAGATCAATTGATAGCTGAATCGCATATTTATTTATTTACTATTGTTTTTTTTTTTTTTGGTCTGATTAATCAATCCCTCCATACAACTATAATTTCATTTTTTTTTTGGTTACTTTTGATCATCCAATTGTTGATCTAGGGTTTCTCATAGGATTTTGTTTACCTATCTAGTGTTGCAAAAATAATCTGGTTGGTTTGATTTGATTTAGGGTTTCACTTTTGTGTTTTTGTTTTTGGGTTTGATTAATTTGTTGTTTAAAGAAGAATCCTTGGTTGTTAATCATTATGGCGGCAGGACGATTTGATGTCTCGAGGAGGAGAGATGTTCATTATTCTAAGAAAGAAAGCTATCACTATAGAAACGGCTACCATGACCTAGAATTGAAAAGTCGGAATGGATATGGTTCTTGTTCGGCCGCTGTTGAGGCAGTTGGTGGACAAGGAAGAGGATTTGTTGGTAGGACTAGAGAGTGGGAGGTGGGTGAGTTATCAGGCCGAGCCAGGTCTCATGATGCTTTCCCTTACGAGTCTAGTGCCGGGGATAATGAGATTGCAAGGTCTCAAGATGGGGTGTCAATGCATCCAGAAAAGAAAAGGAAGCTTACACCTATTATTTGGGATAGGGATGACAAAGAAGTAGGAATTTCATCCAAGAACAGAATTTCCTCAAAAAGCCCTTTCCTTTGTTCTCCACTGTCTTTGCAGAAGTTAATGAATATTTCTGCGGATGGGGATGTTATCATGTATGCTATCACAAATACTCAGCTTCAAGGCATGCAGATGGCAGCTGGGGCAGCGGGGAACTCTGAAGCACTACCCAATTCACCATCTTTGTTGTCACCAAAGCAATGCAGGAGAACTAATAAAGAGCTTGGAGAGGTGGAAGACAATAAGTGCATTGAGGTTCGGCACATATCAACATCACGGTGGGCATTAATGGATAATTCACCAGGGGAAATATGTTCAGATAACACTGGAGACACTTTGTTGAATACTCATGAAAGTGGGGAGTTTCGTAGGGAAGGCTCTGATAGCAGTCGGGGAAAGTCATCTTCATTTGATGGGCAAGATAGTTTTATGGAGCTTGCAACAAGTAGGCATGATTACTCAGAGAATGATACCATGGAGATTGATGAGAAACATGATGAGGTTAGGCATTTGGACTGGGATCTTGAGGAGGAGGAAGAGTTTTCTAGGTTTGAGGAACTTGCTGCCCCTAAATTAAGAAGCATGAACATGCTTCAAGGTTGTAGGAGTGTGTTTAATTACGAGAGACTCAACAAAATAAATGAAGGTACGTATGGTGTTGTGTATAAAGCTAGGGATAAGGAAACAGAAGAAATAGTGGCATTGAAGAAGGTGAAGATGACCCTAGAAAGAGAGGGTTTCCCTCTGACATCTTTGAGGGAAATAAACATTCTTGTGTCTCTTCATCACCCTTCAATAGTGGATGTGAAAGAAGTAGTTGTGGACAAAGATGTTTTTATGGTTATGGAGTACGTGGAACATGATCTTAAGGGGCTTATTGATATAATGAAGCAGCCTTTTAGTGAAAAAGAAGTTAAATGCCTGATTCTACAGTTATTGGAGGGTGTCAAATATCTGCATGATAATTGGGTTCTCCACAGGGATTTGAAGACATCAAATTTGCTTCTAAACAACAGGGGGAAGTTGAAAATTTGCGACTTTGGATTGTCACGTCAGTATGGAAGCCCGTTGATAACATATACTCCTTTGGTGGTCACTTTGTGGTACAGGTGAGTTGCGGTCTTTTGTGCATTAACCATAGATTTATGAACTACAGTTTTTTATATTCATGCTTGCATTTTCACTCTTTCTATTTTGAGTTATGTGGTGCTTCATTTGCTTTTTTTGTCTTTAGATTCACTTGTATTAACTCTTTCTGTAATTTTTGCCTTTTAACAGAGCACCTGAGCTGCTGCTCGGAACAAAACATTATTCTACTGCAATTGATATGTGGTCGGTGGGTTGTATAATGGCAGAATTGTTGGCAAAGCAACCACTATTTAATGGAAAAAGTGAATTAGAACAGCTTGACAAGGTAACAGTTGCTTCCTCATTCTTTGAAATTGTTTTTTTAGTACTTATTCCTTTGGCCTATATCTGATGATTAGTTTATTTTTCACACAAATTGCAGATTTTCAGAGCTCTTGGCACACCAAACGAGGCAATCTGGCCAGGATTTTCCAAACTGTCAGGAGCCAAAGTAAAGTTTGTTGAGCAATCGTAAGTTTCTGTTTCATGCACATTAGATTGAATCCTTAAAAAGTTGTTGAAACTGGCTTTTCATTCCTCTTTTTAACTTTATGAAATTGCTGTGGTTTTGTGGACAGGAGGAATACACTGCGGGAGAAGTTTCCTGCAATTAGTTTCAAGGGGTCTCCAGTCCTCTCTGAGCAGGGCTTTGATCTGTTGAGCCAGCTTCTAACTTATGATCCGGAGAAGGTAAATCTTCATTAGGGGCAGAGAGTTCCAAGTTATGTATTTAGTATATAGCCTTCTATATCTAGTAAGAATTTTGCAGTGCATTTTGCATGCATGCTTGTATTGATGAAGATCCTTTATTTTGTTTGTACAGCGAATAACAGCTGAAGCTGCTCTCAAGCATAGCTGGTTCCATAAAGAAGAGCCTTCCATTCAAGAATTGATTCGTAATAGGCTAAAGTCGATGGGATATGATGGCTAGGCATCCTGACAAGTTCATTGCAGAAGGCATCCCAGCATGTGCACATTTGGTGGTTCATCACAATTTTCTGATTAAATCGAAGCCAGCAGGTGAAGTTGTTATTTGGTTTTTTTATAACACCACCAAGCGCATGAACCTTGAGAGAGAGAGAGAGAGAGGCTTATGTGAAGTCTACTGTGATTTTGGTCATTAGTAAATGTGAATGTTACTGTATCCCCTCTAAAATTGGAAGGGAAAATTTTGCTGGTGAAAATGCTCTCTTTTCACAGTTTGTTCAAGTGGATATGTGTAGGTGCACATTGAATATTAGTAGGATGAAAGATGAATAATGTAAAAATACCAAAACAAATAAGTAAATAAATATGTACTAGAAAATCAGTTGTAGTCGTTTTAGCCATGATCTTCACCTATAAACATTTGCTTACTGAAAGGGATTGTGAGAAGCCAAGTAGATGGTAAGAGCATTATATTATTATTATTATTATTTGGGTAAATTACTTAAAAGTCAACTTTAGCAATTGTCTAAGACATTAGGTCTAGTAGGTATTTTTTTTATTGCTAAGAGGTTTACCTTTTGTGAAATAGTTTGGAAAGAAGTCATTTTGTTTGTTTTGAATAACATATTGTTTTTAATTTTACTTATTAATTTATCTGTTGACTTTTTTTATCTGTAGACTTTTTTTGACTATTCAAATTTATATCTATTTGTTTAAATTATTTTTTATCTGTTCAAATTTTTTCCTTATCTATTGAAGTATTTTTTTTATCTGTTGAAATTATCTATTTAAAAATCTATTTGTTAAAATTTACCCAACTTATTTTCTCTTATCTATTGAAATTTACATTGCATATTTCCATTATCTGTTGAAATTATTTGTTCAAAAAATTTATCAATTAGAATTGACTAGACTTTTTTATTTCTTTTTTTATCTATTGAAATTTGTTGGAATTTTTTCCCAAATCCACTTTCTCTCTTATCTGTTGAACCAGGACTTCTCTTATGCACAAATACATGATCCGTTGAAAATGTTAGCTAAAATGTTGAACTTGCTCAGTTTCAATCAAACAAATGGCATTACATCTAGATCTTACCATCATAACAATAGTAAAACAACTAAACTAAAATAAAATAAAAGAAAAACTGATGAATAACACAACTATGAGTACCACCACTAGATATATTCAAATCACAATTACATTTTCATAGCATATTCACACATTACAGATCTAGATGGAAAATTCACACAGATACTCCAAGATCCATCACCAAGAAGATGGCAAGGAATTAACCAACACCTCGCAATAGAGAAAATCCAGGAAATGGTGCAATATTCTGAGAAGACGAAGAAGAAGAAGAAGAAGAAGAATATCAGATCCAACTCAAAACAACACGTGTAAGTGTATATCACGAAGAAGCTTACAAGAATCTATGTCTAATATTGTATTTAAAAAAACTCTGTAATCAGAGAGAGAGAGAGGAGGGGGATTAAAACCAATCTCCATGGAAACCAATCTCAAGATTTTTTGTCCAAAACCATAGAGTTAGAAAATGAGAATGGTGTTTAGAGGGGAGAGAGAGAGAGAGAGAGAGAGAGAAGCGACAACAAACGAGGGAGATCAGCGTCATTCTCGGGTCTAGAGTCCCTCAGATCTGTAATCTATTTGAGAGACCTCAAATCTCAAAGAAGAAGAGAAAACCACTGCATCACCGACTCAATTCTTCTACATTTGCATTAAAATCGAAGAGAAATGAGAGTTAATAATACTCAACAAGTCCCATGGAGATTTTGCCGGTGCCAGCCTCGACGATGTCGGGGATGAGAATAAGCTGATGATGATGTCACGAATGATCTTGCCAGTGGTGAAGTGCTTTTACCACGGTGGCGAAGAGGTTCTTTCGCTCAAGGTCTTCCACTACGGCGGCATCGTACAGCAGAGACCAAGTCTAGGAGTTTGGAGAGACAGAGGGTTAGGGTTTGAAGAGAGAGAGAGAGAAAATTGACGGGTTTTAACCATGTACATGATATATATATATATATATATATGTAGGGATAGTTTGGACATTTTGCACCATCATGCCCTTACGGACAAAATATCTTAGAGCTTGGATCTTTGGCTAAACAAATTTCAAATTTAAATTTATGGACCGAGTGCCCTCCTCCTCCTCCTCCTTCTTCTTCTTCTTATTATTATTATTATTATTATGTCAAAATGAAAGATACAATATTAGAAAGATTCTTGTAAAAGGTCCACAATGAGGAGTTATATCATTATGTATGAAAATTATGAAATGAATTTTTTATTTATATAACATTACTCTTATATTATATATATATATATATATATATATAATATAGGCATCGTTTGGGAAGTTGATTATTTTAGTAGGCTATTTTAGTTTTTGGTTATTTTAGTAGGCTAAAATATTTGTATTTGAAAAGATGATTGGATTTTTTTTAAGTTGCATATGATGTTTGTAAGAAAAAAAGTAAAATAATTATGAATTTGATATGACATTTGTCTTATTAACTATTTTAGCTTATTTTGTCTTTTTATGACTTTTAGCCGAAAAAGCTAAAAAAATCATTTGCCAAACACCCCCATAATATATATATATATATATAGCAACATGTCACGTCCTGCCAAATTACCTAGACAGAATTGCCTACCAAAAAGAAGTCTCAATGAATGGAGGCTAATGGAATATTCTAGAAGCTCTTGGAAAACTTGAGAAAATGATATAATATAGTACATAATTCTATAATGTACCTGCAATGATCTATAATAGATTTTTTAGCATTTGAGTGAATATTAGAGAGAAGAAAGCAATAGAAGCTTTTAGAACCCCCTAGAAAAATGGAGTTGGTAAAAGACTTGTATTTACTTCTAGAATGAGGTAGATATTTGTATAGATATTTTTAGAGAAGATTCTAGAACCCTCTTGTAGGATAAGGAAAGTTTCCAAGAGAAGCTTGTCCATGGTTCTTTTCTTATGTGTTCTAAAATGTTCCAAAAGTGCCTATAAATAGGAGAGGAGCTCATTTGCTCCAAACCATCCAAGAGTTGTACAAGTTTTCTCAAAGTAAATACAAAGACATTCTCTCAAATTCTCTTTGTCTTCTTACTTGTCTTTCTTGCAAATTTGTAGGTTAAGCTAACTAAGCATCACCAAGTAAAATTTGTGATTGTCTAATTGCCGCATAGATAACTTGGGAATAACTAAGGCCATGACATGCAGCTGATGATATTCTAATTTCACGAGTGATTAGCATTGAAAATAGTTGTTGGCCATTTCAATTTATTAATTGGAAAATGCTATGAACTCCAAATAATTTACGAATTTTTTTATTAAATCTCTTACATAGGCGTGAGACCCACACAAATCCGCATATGTGTGGGTCTCATACCCACAAGGATAGATCTAGGGGGGCTGAGTGTGGCCGCACCCCCAAAAATTTGAAAAATATCATATATTATACTAGAAATTTTAAAATAATTTAAAATTATAAGAGTTCGCATCCCTAATTTTTTTTTTTTTAAAGATAATTTCAAAATTATATAGAGTAACCCCCAATTTTTTAAACTATTTGGAATGAGATGTCCTTATAAGGGAGGCCGAGGTCGGTCTCATTCTGAAAGAAGTCAGCTCACCGTGGAACATCATTTTCACGTTGATATTTTTATGGTTACTGTTGATTTTCAGTTACAAGAATTAAACAATAGGTTTAAGAAAGATGTAATGGAATTGATTGTTCTTGTCTCAGCTTTGGATCCTTGGGATGGTTATAGATCATTCAAAATTGAGGATATTTGCAATCTTGCAAATAAATTTTATCCCATAGATTTCACCAAGCAAGAAAAATTGAATTTGAAGTATCAGCGGGAAAACTATAAACTTGATATTTTTGTACTTCCCGAATTTCAGAAGTTGTCAATCATTTTTGAGTTATGTCAAATGTTGGCAAAAATAAAAAAAAAAAAGTCAACAAGTTATCCTCTTATTAATAGATTGATCCGTCTTGTGTTGACTTTACTTGTTTCAACTGCTACATCAGAACGTGTATTTTCAGCTATGAAACTTGATAAGTCTAAATTGCGCAATAGGATGGAAGATGATTTTCTGGCTAGTTACTTGATTAGATACATTGAAAAAGATATTGCTCAAGGGTTTGATGCAGACTCTATCATTCATGTTTTTGATATTATGGAAAAGCTTCGAGCTCAATTGAAGATGCCTAATTTTAGTAAATAAATACATGTAGAAATAGTTATTACTTTTTGTAAGTGAATATGGGCAAAAAAATATTCTCAATTGTATGATCATCTTTTTGTACCCAACTATGTTAACAAGGAATATATAGTTTAATATTTTATCGTAACATTATTGATTTTTTTTCATGTTAGTAGAAATTTGTATTGAACTTTAAATTTTATTGGTTAGAGGTTAAACGTACTTTAGCCCCCCCAAAGTTATAATCCTGAAACTATCCCTGCATACCCATGTGAGACGTTTGATAAAAAATTTGATAAATCATAACCCTTATATACATATCGATGGTGTAGTGGTGGATTGTGGCCACAATATGGCTTAATGAAATACTATTATGTTACAAAAGAGTGGTTAGCTGATGCTTTACCAGTTCTCGCTCAAGATAAAATAAAATAAAAAATGATCATGTCGCCTATTTAGAATTCAAACCTTTCATTGGTAATATTAAAATCAAACGAAAGTTAAAGACGACATAAAACTTACAATCCTCAAAACATTTTGTTAATGGATAAAATTTGATGATATTATCAATTTATTAAATTAAAGTACTAATTTTATCCTTCATTAAAAATGACCCTACACACACAAAAAATAAATAAATAAAATTAAGTCCACTACCATCTTCAGTTTTTAAACTCTTCATGGTGAACCCAACAGTAATTCTATGCAAACCACTCTATGGAGGCATTTATTCCAACAATAAACAAGGCATCACAACCCACAACTTAGCACTCAAATGGACACCCCTGTAATTGAATCCCAACACCATAGATCCCCTACTAACCATGGAAGAACTCTTGTCAACAAAGATGCACTGGCTTGAATATATATGTATACAGTTATATATATCCACACAAAACAAAATCCCAGTACCCATTAAAATGAAAAATAAAAAAAATCCCCCACCACTATTGCCAGTAGAGAGACCCCAGAAAAAATCCAAGTAGAGATTGTGGTGCTGGAGTGAGGCAAATATGGTGATTGCAAGCGATGAACACCGATAATGATGGAGATGATGAGAGACACAGTAAGAAAGGGAATGAGTAAAGAAGATATAGGGAGAAAGGGAAAGGGTTTGACTGACAGAGAAGAGAGCAAGACAGCCAATGATGAGAATACCAATTGAGGGGAAGGTGGAGAGAGAGAGAGAGAGAGAGAGAGAGAGAGAGAGATAGAGAGAGAGAGCAATGGGAATTGGGAAGAAAATAATTGAAGGGTAGTTTCATCATTTTACCAATTCTGTTGACTCCATAATTTACCTTAAATCACTAGTTTTGTAACCATAGTCGGACACCAGCAATCACATTACTCGGATTCAGTGATCTTTGATGACGATGATACTGAAGCAGATTTTCCTTTAAAATTAGAGCGAGATAAATGAGATAGAGGGTACTTTTCCAAACTCTGGTATGACTGAATTTACCAAAATGATTGTTAAATCCCATCTTATGAGATAACTACAAGACCAAGAAGATGCAATGAAGAAAACCTTACATGACTAACACATATTCGGTGCACGTTTAGGGAGACTGCAAGTTTCCACCAATTTGAAATTCATACAACTGTGTAGCAAAGTATCTGTGTATAGAATCTTAAATGATTCAGTAAATCCATTTCTAGTCTAACATATGGAGCCTGTTTTTGGTGGCTTTTAACTTGGTGCTGGGTATCTATGTACTCTGCTATCTCAAATTTCTCATCATATATGCAAGCATCATCACATCCTCCTTATTAGCCCTAATCTGGGCTCAGAAAGGTGCACTGGCAAATGATATGGTGTGGCCAATGCATCACTTGCAAAATGTTTTGAGCTCTTCAAAACTCAAGTAAATGTTTCAATGTGAATAGATAATAAAAAAAAATGACATACTAATGATACATTCAATCCAGGTAGAGTCATTCCTACCAACAACATGATGACAAAAATGGCAACTGCTTGCGAATATCTTAGGAAACTGTAAATGAAAAAGATCATCAAAAATTAAACACTCATTGGTGAAGATGATGCTATGCTGTCCCATGGAAACAGGCTAAAGGGAAGCTGTTGTTGTGGATGTATCCATTGTAGGGTTTCTGGCAAATGTCATCTGGTAGTGATAGTTATGGTCTTCCCGAGCACAAAGGAAAACAGAGAGAACTCAATGAAGAAGATTGTGTTAATAAGGATCCGATCAATTGTCCATCCGAAAACTGTGAACCCTCCAGGATTGGACTGCAAATATGTAACTGAAAACAAACAAACTTCAGTGATATTGACATGAGTATCATGTCGAACCATGTAGATAGTCATTGAAACTGAAGTGTGCACAAGCATAGAAGCTAGATCATTACATGACATCTACGGCGTTCAACAGCACACACATTTTGGTTTTTTAATTTGTATATATATATTTGAATTACATTATTATACAATTTGTTTTGAATTACATTCACGATTTAACATATTCTACCATATATATATATATATATAAGATGACTGTAACATGGGAACACTTTCCAACTTTTGCCTTGGGCAATTAACTAATGTGTAAAAAGAACTCAAGATCTTTTAATGCTGCTTATCGACCCAAAACATCACCATGATACTATGATGCTGACTCACTTATTTGGCTAACCAATACGGGCCACCTAAACCCATAATCTGAATCATGACTGCCACACATGCCCACACACATTGCTAAGAGACAATACCAGCTCCAATCTCACATTGCCTGCCTCTACTCTCAGTGCACTCTTTTCAGAGCAACTTCAATAGACCGAACTTGGTCTGTAATTCTCCTCACCACATTACATGATCTTATTCACATACCTGAGTAGCCTGACACTTTTGGCTCAAGCTGTCAGATAAGAACCACTCAAAGCAGAGGTGCCAAGTTTAGAGATCAAATTACGATGGAAATGAGATGGAAACAAAATAACAGGCAAAAATCATTAATTTGAGCAGCGTCATCTGAATCAGTAATTATTAGGAAAAGTAAAAATCTTCTATCGCAGATGTCTCACTAAGAGAAAAGCTACAACTCACATGAAATCACTGGCAAGGGTTAACTCCAGACATGCATTAACCAGCATAGTTGTTGTTGTTTTTTTTTTTTCATTGATAAGTTGCATTAACCAGAATACTCTACATTGCTAAACATTTTTCACACAAATAATCACTTTACCTGCCATTACAAATTACTTGTGCCACGCACAAATCAGCAAACTTGATAAGATTATACTTCCAAGAAAACAATCAATCAAGTTACCGATCATTAAAAATGAAAAAAATAAAATAAAAGAAAAGAGAATACTATGTTACTAGAAAATGTTTCCAGGGTTGTCAACTTCGAAGTATATGAGAAGCTCCGAGATAGAATTTATTCCGATTGTTTGATGATTTATCAACTCAACTGACATTTTACATGCTTAAAAGCAGATTCCGGATAAAAGAATCCAAATCATTAGTTATTTCATTTAGTCCAGTTAGTATAAGCACGAAGATAGCAAAGCAGATTTTCTCATATCATTGGGATGGAAAAATGAAGCCAAAAAAAAAAAAAACCTTTTGCAGTGTTCTTTGCTTGAAAATACCAATCATATATGAGAAACATTCTTTGAGACAGCTATAAGACCAGAATACAGGCAATGGGTATTAATACCCTCAAACCAATGGGATTCGTGCATTCATTTATTCAGTGAAACAAATATTATTCTGAAATATTTTCATACATAATAGATATGATTCATAAGATGAATGCTTTAACCCTTTAGTTACATTGAATGTGATGTATGTAAGTGAAAGAGTTTCACTTACGGGAGATATAGATCACAAGTCTTGTAACTTAGAGATTTCACAGTTTTCTAATAGACTTAAGACTATTAGGACAACTGCAGCATGATTAACCCGTGTGAGAGGATGGTTTATCTCAACCATTGAAGTGGAAGACTTTGGATTAATATGTTGGTGTTTTGGAATACATTGAAGGACTACAATAAGAGTCATGCCATGTAAAACCTATTGTCTATTTGGTGTGAATCTTATAGTGCCCAATGCAATGAACTCTTAATCCTGAGAGAAGTTATGGACTCAAGTTTCTAGTCAAGGTCACTTTGATTACCAAAGAGTGAGGTTTATTATTTGGCCAACACCTCGGTGTATTGGGTGACTAAGGTTCGTGGGAACATTCGTTTTAAGATGGAATCCATCCTTTGTCTAAAAATAAATTAAATCTCCCTTTGAATCAGGTCACTAGTTTAGTCACTTGAAATTGGACCTGGTCATTTGCATGATTTGATCATTCAAATGCAAATGGTGACTATGGTGTTTGGGATTAGTACTCAATGTAAATGAGTAAGTTTTGGTTAGACAATAAATCTGTATTTACTACATTACTAGTTATGGACATGGTTATGGTGGAGGGATTGCATTGCGGTATTGTGTACATATATTTTTATTAATAATAATAATAATAATTAACTCTTTGAGGAGTAGAGTGAAATTGCAATTATATAGTGGAGTTAATTGCAATTAATTGATAGCTCCTATCCTAATAAGGTGTAGAGTCCCATTGGAGCTAGAGTTAGAGAGACCTTAGAAGTCCCAATCCAAGCCTGCATGGGAAAGGGTCTTAATGCCTATATAAAGGCTCATAAATGGCCAACCAAGGAGATGTAGAATTTTGCACTCTTTTCTTTCATATTACTATACAGCAAGTGTAGAGATAAAAAATAAGATCCCAAAATCGTACCTTGGTAAGGATTCCCAAAGGGTATCGGATTGAAGGCTCTTAAGCATACAAGTTCAACAATTATTATTCAACATTCAAGTGTTCTTGAAGATCATCATCAACATTCAAAGTACGGAATTACAAACAGTCACAAAGGTATGATTCTACCTATCTTTATCTAGAACATTATGAACACAGGAGTTCAGATTCAAATTTATAAAATTGTTCGCTTCCGCATGGTTTTCGAAACCAACAATTAATAGTGTTGATGGGAATAGTACAGATAAAGAATGCTGAAATAAACGTGAATGCATCTGCTGGGGTACATTTGGCATCCATGATGGACAAAATTAGATAGACTCAAGTGCAACGGTTAAGGTGAAGACTGATGATTGACATGTTTTAGTACTAAAAAAGTTTGGGGTGACAGTGTCACAAGGATAGGGGGAATTATAACCAGAGATGGACAATAATGAGGAAAAATATCTCATGATTGAACAAAATATGTCCTTGACAAGGAAGAAAAGAAGAATTTGTGTGGCCACCGGCCAACCACAAATTGGTGCTAATCAGAGTTGTAGCATATTCCCAATGTCAAGCGCCAAATGCTTGTGCTCACTAGTTACTAGAAGAATTGAAAGTTTAGACATATCTATCAATATGGTGGATCTTCATTATGGAAGATTGAATAAAACTTTATCATAGCCGTCACTAAATGGTTGCATGTTATACGACAAACATTAATGGTTGCCATCAAAACTATCTTGAAGTAAACAGAGAATTTGATATACAAAGCCAGGAATAAATTAAGATCACAGTCAACTAAAATTACAGATTGAGCATGTTCTCTGAGTTTGCAGCCACTATAAAGAGCTCGCGTAGTAGTTAAAGAAAAAATAAAGCACAAATATGTTGATTGTTCTGCATACATACCAAAGGATTGCCGTTTGTGGTATGAAGACATATAAGAAGCCAGCTGGGTATTTGTTGGCATGGGCACATAATCAGTCGATTCCAAATCACTTTCTGAGTAGTACATTGGTAATGCACCTGTTGGATTGACAGCCTCCACATTTCTCCCATTAGTCACAGTTCCCCCTTGAGAACCCTCATTAGAATTGCATGTAACAAAAGCATGCCATCTACTGGCCACTGATGCAATTCCTTGAGCTCTATGTGTAATCTTTGCAGCTCCATGCAGACACAGAATTATTCCAACAAGCTCAACGATTGAGGAGACCTGTTATTGTTGCAACAATACAATATCAGAGCAGATTATTAAGTATATAACACTAACAAATTTTACGAGTATCATACTTGAAGCAAGGTGTTTCTATGAGTTCCCTACGCAACTCATTATTTAGAAATAGCATGGTGCTCCTATACACATTAAGGTAAAGACTCAAAGCATCATACATAATTCCTAAAGGAAATGACTAAGATGGTTGCAGCCATTGTTCTTGCTCTGTAGCTTTATGAGAAAGAGATTCCGCAGATAAAAGTGGTAAAAATTCTAAGTAGGAAAATTTTTTAAAGTGAAATTACCAAAAATCTCCTTAATAATGCTATAGGGCTATAAGCCTGTCACACTCAGTCAAAAAGATATAAATTCTCATGGACAGGCAAAGCCCGAAGGCTGCTATCCCAATAGGCCAGCAGGCGTACAACACCTACGAATAAAACTTTACTTCCAAACTTACAGCAAAATCACCACCGTTTATCAAATTGAGGATTCCATGATTCCCTGTTGTTTGTAATAGAGCCACAAATAGACTAGCTGTCACTACCAAGAACTCCAGAAGAAGAAATATTCGGAATCTGTGGCTTATTTTAGATAAGTAATGTGTTAAACGGATGTGCTCCTCAATATAAACTGAAACATCCAAATCCCTTTCTAAAAGCTTCCCATAGCTTTCGAAGTGTATCACTTGCAAATTGCAAACCAAATTGAACAGAGCAGTGCCTGACAGAAAAATCATAGTCAAGTACGTCCATGAGACAACAGAAGCTATCACAATGCCAACAGATTGCCACCACGGATCATGACGCACATAGATGGCACGGGCAACCTCCCGGGCAGTCTTCAATAGCAAGCACGGTAATGTCCACAAAGCAAGTACACGGAAAAAGTCCTGAACAATTAAAGACACAAGTCAAAATTCTTAATATGATTAAGCCAAAGAGGGAGAGGCAAGGACCTGCGTCATTACAAAGACTTGAGAAGCATCATTGGCTGCTTATTTGCATGAGATATAAAATGCCATCTAAGTGTGGAACTTGTACTCAGAAGCAGATACTATTTGACCAAATTATATTTAAATTAGAAGATTCCTATGCCCAATATTGTAAACAAGTATGCTACCCTCAGTTATTAGATCACAAATTTTTCCTTTCTCTGTTTTCTCAATAATAGTAAAAGTCTTTATCTATGTGTTTTCCCACGGAAGTAACTCATCCACTCTAAAGTCTGGACCAAACACACAAAAACAAAAGTGAAAGCATCTCATGAAATCCTTATGGCCCCATGGGAAGATTTATTTTCCCACAGCAACACTGAGAGTCTTCCTTTGTGTTGAAGATAGAATCCCAGGGTCCATAGGTTAATCAGATCAATCAAGAGAAATTCTACGATTCATGTGAATCAAATCCCATGATTATTGGCATGACTAATGTAATTAGATTTAACATTAACCTCCATGTCATTGTAGTCCATCTATATGTGTGTGTGTGTGATGCTCATGTATTCAAATTATCCAAGATGACAACATAACCAACTGGCATTTGGGTCTGTAGATGTAGGCACAATGTGCCGAACCACGTTTGTGTTCTTCTTGTTCTTACTCTTTTCTTTCTTCTTTATCTGAAGTTTAACATGGTAGCAGAGCAGGTTAGTTGGACCTTGCTTTGAATTTGCTTCTGCTGCATATTCCACATTTTATTTCTACATTCTATTAACATTTTTGGACCAGAAATATTTTTTTTCTTTTGGGTCATCATTTTCCTAATTTGGCTCCTCTCCTCTTCAAATCATCAATCACCAGAGAGATCATGAATGAAATTCGCTCCATTTTCTAATGATGGCACCTTGTGTTCATGCACACTTCAAATGACATAATAATTTAATTTAAATAACCATCTATACTATATATAAAGCAAACACCATAATTGGTGTTTATGTCACAGTTTTTTTTGTGCATTTTTTTTTTTTTTTGGGCGAAACTATCCACAAAAGCCCTTATAACAGCAGTTATGCCATTATTCAGTTATGTCCCAAATTCAGTTCTTTCTTTTTTTTTAACTTTTTTCTTTTGTTACTTTTGATTTTTCAGATTCACCAAAACTTTTAGATTATGAATTCAAGCATACATTTCACAATTTTATTTCATTGAAAGAAAACAATCCAATGCGCACGCATGGTGTGCACCACCATTTCTAGTTTCTCGAAAAGTGCACACAAAATAAACCTAAATTATACTAAAAAGAAGTGAAGATATTATGAAAAATACAATACTCATTGTAAAATGTAAATAAAATATTATACAAAAGAAAATCCGATGGTAAAAATTTTGCAATTCATCGAAAAAGCAAGCAAAAAAGATGAGTTCTATAACAAAAAAAACTTTCCAATCTACAATAATACAATAACTCAAAAGAGTGGCTAGGCCAAATGATAAGGTTCGCCATTAGCGTCCTTGGTGGAGCAAGTTCGAGTCACGAAAATAACCTCTCCAAAAATTGGGATAAAGTTGCATACAATTTGTCCCCCTTAGGCCCCACTAAGGCTAAGTTTATTTTTCCGACTAGTTAGTTTTCTTAAATTACTACATTATTTAAATGCTTATTTTCCTAGTTTGTTTTTCTTAGTTATTTGATTCAATATTACTTATTTTTTTATTCATCTAGACCACATAAATTTGTATTTAAAAAAAAAAAAAAAAAAATAGGTACACAATACAAAACAAGGCTCACAAATTGGATCGATAGGATCGAATTCGGATCGAAATTCTACAATCCTATAATATCCAATTATCAAGATTGAAAGATCCTACCTATAAAGCATTTTTTACACAATCTGAATCTATTGTGCCCAAATGGATTGTAAGATCTGGATCAAAATTTTGATAACCATTACTTCAACAACACTTGTTTTCCAATAATCAATTTTGTTTGTCAATTTCTCATGTTGCACGATGTTCATTCATGCTTAGGTGGGGTTAGGCTTAGGGTTTGGAAGATTAGGAATAGGGGTATGATTGGAATTTCATATTAGGGTAAAATTATAAGAGGGTTGCTAAATGTCCCTACCTTGCTTCTTAGGACCTCTCACTTCTTTGAACCCTCACCATCAAAATTGCTCCCTTCTCCAATAATCAATTTTGTTTGTCAATTTCTCATGTTGCACGATGTTCATTCATGCTTAGGTGGGGTTAGGCTTAGGGTTTGGAAGATTAGGAATAGGGGTATGATTGGAATTTCATATTAGGGTAAAATTATAAGAGGGTTGCTAAATGTCCCTACCTTTCTTCTTAGGACCTCTCACTTCTTTGAACCCCCACCATCAAAATTGCTCCCTTCCTCATTTTCTTTGGACCCCTACCATAATCCCAAATATACCCTCACTCCAACATTTTGCCTCCCTTCTCTCACTTCACCGGTCCCCAACCATAACCCATTCCGACCGACGACCTCCCCCACCATCACAGCCCCAGCCGACAGCTTCCCCGTCGTCGCCCGCTCATCCCCAAACCAGACCCACCACACCACCACCACCACCACCACCACCACCACCACCTCTCCCCCATCCACCATCTTACACCAACCCCCCATCGCCGTCGCTCTCCCTTTCAATCATTCATCAATGTCGCCACCCACAAAACAACCCTAGAGCCCTCTCCCATCATGCTCGTGTTTGATTTTTCTTCATTTGAAACTGTCACGCCTGGTTTGGAAAACCAGTACCAAACAAATGGTGGAGGTTCGGATGCAGACTAGTGAACAAATGGTGGCAGTTCAGGTGAAGACTGTCAAACAAAAGGTGGTGGTTCAGGCTTGAACTACTGAACCGAATGAGAGAAGAGAATTTAGTGCAAACGCAAGCCAGTCTAGCCCAATTTCGAGGATCATCTTCGAGCATGAAGAAAATGTTGAGAACAACGCCCTCGAAGAGCTTTGAAAACACTGTATCAGTCATTTTCGTTACAAACAGAGAAATGGGTATTGATACAAATTTTCGATTGTTCTATTTTTCTAATCCTCTTCCTCCTCCTCTTCCTCCTCCCCCAAAACCCTAGCCTAGATCTAAGATTTTTGATCTAAAAGCAACAATCTTCGCCGGAGGTGGAGAAGTGGTGACTGCCACTTCTCTCTCTCTCTCTCTCTCACTCTCAGTGGCGGTGCTGAGGGGGCTACAAAGGTGGTGGTGGTCGCAACGGTGAGACATCGGAGGGAGTAGTGGTTGCAGCGACTAGGGGCTAATGGTGGACAGAGATGGTGGTGATTGCCGGAGGTGGTGGGGGATGCAATTAGGGTTAGGGTTTGGGTTTGGATTTGAAAAATTAGGGTTAGAAGATTAAGGATGAGGGTAAAAATGAAATTTTATGTTTGGACAAAATTGAAATTAAAAAAAAAAATGGAGTAGGGGCATTTAGCAACTATCAATTATAATTAAAAAGATTAGTTAGATGTGTGGTCCAAAGAAATTTGGTGAGGCAAATAGTAACACTCTTATTGCAATTATGACTATAATCGCGTAGTATTTGGGTACAAAGAGCAACCTAATAGTAAAACTGTATCCTTTATATGCAATTGCATTCTCATTTTACGATAGAAAGAATTCAAAAAATCCAAGGAATAAAGTTTTTAAATCCGTTGTGTTGTCACATCAGAATCTTTTCTACAAGTTCATAGATCCAAAAATGCGTCTCAGCATCAACTGGAAAGAGAAGAGAAAAGTAGGGAAGTATTTTGAATGCTTTGGAAGCACTCAAAGTAAGTGCAATCCAAGAACAAGTTTACTTTGCAAGTACTTCACTGAACCAACGAAGTTGATTTTTTAGGGCAAGCAGTTGTCTCCGATTCAAAGCAAAATCACAAATTTTGAAAACAAAACTGACAAGTAATACAAGTATTGGATGCTTACATGAATCTTGTGAATATAGAGGTCGCGAAACTGGGCCATATGACCACGATACCGATCGACGAAGAGTAACCTCCGAACACCATACTTGCGAAGATTGTGAGAAATGCAGAGAAGAGAAATGGCAGCGAGAAGGGATTGACAAACGAAGATTTCGAGCTCGAACACTCTGATCTGATACTTCTCACAATCAGAGCAATACGAAAACTCGATTATAAGAAACGGAACAGCCAAGCCGATCGCGAGGAATGAAAGCCAGGAGAGAGTGAAGCTGAGTGGAGAGTAATGACAAAAGCCGAAGAATCGAAGAAACAACTCCAATCTCTGTAGGTACTTGTCTAGTTGAACGTCTTCTGATGATGATTGAGTCGCGGCTGTGTCTATCAGAGAGATTTCAGTTGAACTCTCGTCAACTTCCATTGTAGAGAGAGAGAGAGAGAGAAATTGAATATGGAGAGTTAAAGATCTCGGATTTTGAGTTGCAGGGAAAACAGAGCAAAACTGAGAGATATAAAGATCGTTTAGGGTGGTGCTACACACCAACTAAAATAGTATAGTCAAAAGGCCAGTTTTTGATTATTTGAAGAGGTTAAAATTTTTGTATTTAAAAAGATATTTTAATTTTTTTTTATAGTTGAATATGATATTTGTAAAAAAAATAAAATAATTATAGTTTTGATGTTAGATTTTATCTGAACTTGTTTTTTTTTTTCATAATTAATGTTGTCTTTTAATTTTTTTTTTTTTAGCAAAAAAACAAAAAATCATACTTTTCAAACACTTCCATTATCACTTCAAAATTCATTATGAATTTTATTTATTATATAAATTATAAAAATTTTAAATTTTAAAAAATTGATAAATTACAAACACACTTCTGGAGTTTACTTAAATTAAAAATTACTCATTTGATTCTAGAAATTATATTATTTTCTAAGATTTCTAATTTCATAACAAGCAAGCCTTTTTATCAATAAATCATTAAATTAATTAATAATTTTTAATAATGTTAAAATTTTATTTCAATTAATAATTCAAATAATTTATTATTGTATAGGTGAATAGATAGAAATTTTACTTTTTCAATTAATTCTGTTAAATAAAAAATTCTAATAGGGAAGTTTTTGTAATTTTTCAAATCACGGGAGACAATTCATATTTTAAACAAACTTCAAAAGATGTATTTATAATCAATTGTGATAGAGACCCCTACACATATATGACTCTCACAATCCTCACTCTTATTCCAACCTCTCATAATATGGAGCCCACACATACATGTGTGGACCCCACACACTATCAATGGCTAAGATTAAATTAAAGGTCATGAAACTATCCTATTTATTAATATATTAATTAATACATATAATTTTATTTCATTGTTTATTTCGTTTATATATAATATAAATAATTAAGTAATAATAGAACAATATAGAGTTTTTTTTTTTTTTTTTTACAGGAAAATCCTCTCACTCTCCCGTAGGTCCAGGGCAAGGCAGCATCCCTTGCAGAGATCACCAAAATGTTCTGTTATCCGTTCCAAGATAAGAGACTATAACCAAAGAACTTGACCCGACCTCTCAAAACAAACTCTTCATAAGTTAAGACTCGAGCAGCGGAAAAATATTGAGTCCACACCAAATACTGTAATAGTAACGAGTTGAGGCTAGAACAGATCAGATAGAGAGAGCGACAGAGAGTGATTGTGTTGTAAAGACAGAAACAAACTTTGAGATAGGATAATAATATATATATATAGACAGACAGACAGAATTAGGTGACCTGGAAAGAAAAAAAATATACATTTTTCTTACTAGTTGACATCACTGGTTTAAATAAATAAAAATTAGAAAAATATAATGAAATCGAAAGGACGGAATCATTTCTCTCATTATTTCTATCTGTGAGGTATTACACATCATGAAATTTTTATTTAGAATTTATTCAGAAATACTAATTAATTGTTGCAATTCATTTTATTCATAAATCTCAGATTTTAATAATTTAATTTTCACTACACAAATTAATTTTAAACAAATTCTAAAATTGTAAATCTGGCTCCTAGCTTTTTCCTTTCTATTTTGAATCTCCATTTTAGAAAGAGATTGAGAGAAAGACAAAATCAACTAAGATCTGTTTTGAAAAATGTCAAAAAAGTTAATTTTTTTTTACATATTTTGAAAAGATGTGCAAAAATAAAGAAGTGATGTGAATTAAATAAGTCGATAAGTTAATAAATTGACTTTTTTGACACTTTTCAAATGCAACAATGTTAGCGATACTTACACATTTATTAACAATTTTACTAGGCAGTGGCTTTGGTCCAGTCCAAGATCGAACTGAACCGTGCTGTTGGGTCCTTGGGGGCCCACCACGAGTCCCGTTTTGATAATCTGAACCGTTCAATGTGTAGAATTCGTCGAGTACTATATGCCTGTAAAAAGTCACGTTGATCGGATATCGATAGCTATGTGAACAAACAGTTTTTTATCAACCGTTAATTTTTTCACCGTCCATTTTTTTTTATACAAAACTGATTTGATCACATAGCTATTGATATCCGATCAACGTTATTTTTTATAGGCGTGTAGTACTCGACGAGTTCTACACATTGAACGGTTCGGATTATCAAAACGGGCCCAAAAAATGGACCCCATGGGCCGAACTGGATGGGTCCAGTCTTGATCTCAACTTGAGACAAGTTGGACCCATTTTACTAATACACTCACAAGTTTTGATAAGATCAACCATCATTTGATATGGGACCCACATCAACTTGTGAGTGTGTTAGTAAGATTGTTAGTATTCCTAGTAATTTTCCTTCAAAAGAGGCCTAAGAATATTAGGAATATAAACACCAAATAGGATGAGACACATGTTTCACATGGAGTGAGATCTATGATGTGGGACTTACATGCGGGACCTATCTCATGTGAGACATTTATGTCTCATTCTGTATTTAGTATTTGTGTTTCTAGACTTATTGATCAACTGGTTGGTTTGGGAAGTGGGTTGGCTTTTTGGCTTTTTGACTTTTTTGGCTATTTTAGCCTGGGTTAAAAAGCTTGGTTTGGGAACGACTTTTTGACTTTATGGCTTTTTGGCTTTTTTTGACTTTTTTTGTGAGAGAATAGTGTAATGACTATAGGTTGGATGTGATGTTTTTGTGGCTAAAATAGTTTATTTTGTCTTTTGTAGCTAAAATAGCTAAAAAAAAAAACTCAATCTAGCTCTTCCCAAACGGATGGTAATTTGTTATAATATCAAAAATACTCTTTTAGATGGGTTATTATACTTTCTATCTTTAAACTATCGCTAAATTATCTATTTCCCTGAATTATCAATTGAGTCTCATAAGTTCCTAAAGTATACATAAATCAAAATTTATTTAGTTCCTACACTATTGATTAAATCTATTAAATTCCTAAAATATTTAATTCAAACATATTTAGTCCCTTAAAAAAATTGCAAAAATAAAATATAATCCATAAGTATTATAATAAATTAATAAAAGGTCCTGTCTAGTTTAAATTTTATTTAAAAAAAAAAATCAATTTTTATTTTATCTTTGAAAAGTAGGTATCAATTCTTATGGTAAATTTCCTTTATAAGGGTAAGGGTCATTATCTATAATTTTTTCTCACTTATTTTTTACAATGAGTATGTAAAACAGCAAAGTGTTGATAAATTCTTTGATAATTTTTAATGACATATTATATGACATATTTTGTTTATAATTTTTAAGTTTTTTGATATATTCCTTTTATCAGCAACGTGTTAGTATTTAAATTATCTAATTCTAGTTATAGCGATCCCGGTTTCTCTTCCTTTGATTATGTATTCCGAACTCAGGTTCCGTGGAGTTGGTGGTTGTATATCTTGTTGTTATCCTTTAATTCCGTGTGTTTGAGTTTTAGAATGTGTTGGGTGTGTTTCGAACATGTTGGTTGAGCTTTAGTCCCATTCCTTGTTGCCCAGATTTTTGGTGGTACGCTCGAGCGGGTCCCTTTGCGCTCGAGCGGAGTTTGATTTTTGGTTGTCCGCTCGAGCGGGTCTTCTTGCGCTCGAGCGAGGTTTACACACTCCCAGCATTTTGTGCCTCTGCAAAACTTCTGCAAGTGCGTTTTTCACGCTTGAGCGGTTTTCCTTACGCTCGAGCGGGTAGCGCTCGAGCAGGTATATTGGCGCTCGAGCAGGTAGTTTATTGTCTGTAAAAGTACTGGAAGGGGGAAATCTACGCTCGAGCAGCTTTCCCTTTGCGCTCGAGCGGGTGTGTTTTGCAGTTATGTCTTGGCGCTCACTATATGCCTGTAAAAAATCACGTTGATTGGATATCGAAAACTATGTGAACAAACAGTTTTTTATCAACCGTTAATTTTTTCACCATCCATTTTTTTTATACAAAACTGATCTGATCACATAGCTATTGATATCCGATCAACGTTATTTTTTACAGGCGTGTAGTACTCGACAAGTTCTACACATTGAACGGTTCGGATTATCAAAGCGGGCCCAAAAAATGGACCCCATGGGCCGAACTGGATGGGACCAGTCTTGATCTCAACTTGAAACAAGCTGGACCCATTTTACTAATACACTCACAAATTTTGATAAGATTAACCATCACTTGATATGGGACCCACATCAACTTCTGAGTGTGTTAATAAGATTGTTAGTATTCCTAGTAATTTTCCTTCAAAAGAGGCCTAAGAATATTAGGAATATAAACACCAAATAGGATGAGACACATGTTTCACATGGAGTGAGATCTATGATGTGGGACTTACATGCGAGACCTATCTCATGTGAGACATTTATGTCTTATTCTGTATTTAGTATCTGTGTTTCTAGACTTATTGATCAACTGGTTGGTTTGGGAAGTGTGTTAGCTTTTTGGCTTTTTGGCTTTTTTGGCTATTTTAGCTATTTTAGCCTGGACTAAAAAACTTGGTTTGGGAACAACTTTTTGACTTTATGGCTTTTTGGCCTTTTTGACTTTTTTTGTAAAAGAAGAGTGTAATGACTATGAGTTGGATGTGATGTTTTTGTGGCTAAAATAGTTTATTTTGTCTTTTGTAGCTAAAATAGCTAAAAAAAAAGCTCAATCTAGCTCTTCCCAAACAGATGGTAATTTGTTATAATATCAAAAATACTCTTTTAGATGGGTTATTATACTTTTTATCTTTAAACTATCGCTAAATTATCTATTTCCCTGAGTTATCAATTGAGTCTCATAAGTCCCTAAAGTATACATAAATCAAAATTTATTTAGTCCCTACACTATTGATTAAATCTATTAAATTCCTAAAATATTTAATTCAAACATATTTAGTCCCTTAAAAAAATTACAAAAATAAAATATAATCCATAAGTATTATAATAAATTAATAAAAGGTCCTATCTAGTTTAAATTTTATTTTAAAAAAAAAAATCAAATTTTATTTTATCTTTGAAAAGTATGTATCAATTCTTGTGGTAAATTTCCTTTATAAGGGTAAGGGTCATTATCTATAATTTT